TTTGCCTCTTTAAAACAGTAAGTTTCAATTCAACTAAGGGGAACTCTGCTTCATTAATTTCTTGGCACAATACAGTTTGCTTGAAGACCTAATGTATGCATCAAGCTACAACTTAGATGAACTATTTTGGTTTAATTAGAGACAGAACATAATAAGCTTAAAGCTAGAGATTCAGCCCCAAGTCAAGTTTAATATATGATCTTTGTGTGGATGCATAACTGTGGTTGCATTTAACTAAGCTCGAGATCATGATCCGTGTTGTCGCTGTATAAGTAGTATTAGCCCCTTCATTTTTGTCTTCACGGTTTATTGTTTATGCATGATGAACAAACTCTTGAGACGATCGATGTTTGCGTTTTGTTTTCAACCGTGTCTTTAAGCTTCTACCTTGTTGAGGTTCATAACTTTTGTGCGAAATTGAGACAATCCAACTTGAGCTTTATCAATGTGAAAGAACCTCGCGCGCTTGTTTGGAGTTGTAAGAATTGTAGCTCGAGTATGTGTTGCAATTAAAAATGTTAAGTTTTTAGTTTTTACCACCCTCCTTAAGATAGTTGCCTGAATTGACTAGCATTTTCATAATTCATACCGAGTAATTTTCATCTACGATTATGACGGTGTGATGTCTGATGAGCAGATGGGCAATGTTCGGCTTTGCGGTTGGGATGTTAACAGAGTACGCCACAGGCTCCGACTTTGTGGATCAAGTCAAAATCCTTCTCTCCAATTTCGGAATTGTAGATCTCGAGTGATTTTTTTTTCTTCTTTAATTCATGCCATTGTAACTTGAGTTCTTCAATCTGTGTTCCGGTGCACTCTTGTGCTGGACCACCCTTTTCTGCAGTAGCTTGTTGTAGCTCCTTAAATCCGAATTTCAAATGGTACAGAAATATTTTTTTTATCACAGTAATTTCCTCTCATTGGTGCGTTTTTGTCAAATCAGTAATACTTTTTAGGCAATCTGTTTGTTTATGTAACATTTCCAAAAGTTAATCTTTTTAAAGTTATCACATAAAGGGAAATAGTGTATATGAAGCTCATAATAAACTAATGAAGTGGCTAAATCCTATTATTGA